TCCCTAATTACCATCCATATCTTTAGTTAATGGTTTTATATATACATATATTTTGGTAGAAAGTAAAAAAAAAAAAAAAAGATTGCGTAAAAATCAGAACATTTTCCCTTTGAGACAACCAATTCTATCCTTACAAGAAAAGATAGGGAAAAAAAGCTTGTTATTATTTGCATGATTTTTTCTTTTTTTGCTGCTTTAGATTCCACGTGGTTGGCCTCTTTGTTCATATGATATATCAAAGCTTCTTTTTTTTATAAAAAAAAAAAAAACCGATTCGGTCATTGTACGTACGAGACATCCCACGTTTCCGAACTCAATTATTGTCTTCGATACGTTCTCTTCGATCGAAACCGATGATTGATGACTGTATGCATACATATATATATTATTAATACATATACGTAAAAGCTATAGTGTATATATATTCTGATTATTGCCTTATATATCGGTTATGTATTGTACTTATTACTTAATATCACATTGCAGATATATTAATATAAAGTTTGTGTAAAATTTTCCACAATCCTCAATAGCCAAATTTCACGCCCCTATAGCCTACGTGATACGTATCCGAAACGATTATTGGACCGTAAGGTCCAAAAAACTATTATTATTATTATTATTTTTTGTATACGAACGGTACCCAAGTGAAGTGTTCCCTTATTGAAAAAGTAATATATAGTTTAGAGATAAGGAGTAATTGAGTCGAAGCATTTCTGTATACCCAAAAAAGAAAAATCTGGTATAAATACTCAAACTTTATAAATTCTATCAAATAAATATCTAAATTTTTAATTTGATTTATTTTATACCACAAATATTAAAATGATTCAAATTTATATATTAATTATTGAAATATTCTAAATTAATACTCTAATTTACAAAATCAATAACGATTTATAACTTCGATTTATTTTTTATTTTATAAATTAATATCTAGTTTATCTATCATCGTCAAAATCGATGTTAAAAATTACCATTATAAAATCGAAGTGTCTATTTAAAAATTTTATTATTTGAGATATAAAAAAATAAGTATCAACTAGATCAAATAAAAAAATTAGATATTTATTTTGCACATGTTATAAAATCAAATCGAGCTATTTATACGATATTTTTTAAAAAAATGTTTCCAAAGTGTTGTGTTATCATATAATGGAGATGGGACCCAAAAAATAGGTTGGGCCAGGCCCAACTATTCCAAATACGAAAGGTCAATAGCATATAAGATTTTTAGAATATTACATTATAGGCGATAGCATTCCATCACACAACATCATATTCATATTGATGTGTAGTAATATATTTCAATATTCGATGTTTTTAATATGGGTGGGTTACATCATATAATATTATTGTTCAGACAATGTCGGACCAAAAGCTCGTGTTAAAACAGAAAACCAATCCATAAATGGAGTGAGGACTGTGGCATTGTGAACATAGTACGTGCGGCCCTTATTCAATATTTAAATTTATACAAATATATATATATATATACTAATATATATTTGATGAAATACTCGCATTTATTAAACTGTCAAGACAATAAATTTTAACATGCATCTAAATCGTCTGCTCACGTGTAAAACAATTACGATATCGTTTCCTTTTTTTTTTTGGGAATGATAAATGGATCGCGCTGTATTATTTCTTTTCATATTAGTTGGCGACTTTGGAAAAATAATATAAATTCTTCTCATAGTCCTTACATCAATAAATCTTTTTTCCCCGAAGGAATATTGAATTTATATTTTGAAATTTTGTAATATTAATTTGAGGTAATGTAAAAGAAATCACGGGTTTTGTATATATCCCGAATAGATCAGTCTTTTACATCACAATTCCAAATTAACCATGATTTTATATCATTTGTCCCACTACAATAAAAACTTTTAAATAAAAATATCTGTTTAAAACGATGCCTAGGGTTCAGAATATTTTATTTAAAAATCATAGTTCTATTATATTAAATCATGCTATAATTATTTCGATAAAAAATATAGTATTTTAATTTAATTTTCCAATATATATATATATATATAATATTTTTGGACAAGTGCTTCCCTTTGTCTTCTGCTTTGACATCTGTTAATTCATAGAATACGTTTCTTTAATTAACTGCTATATCTAAATCTAATCTAAAATCTTTACCCTTCGCTCTTAAAAAAGAAAAATCTTAAAATCTTCTTGTAATATACAAATCAACAAACCGATATATACATATATAAACTTTTTGCAATTTAATTAAATTGTATACATTATTTAAAATTATATTATGGTTTTTCCTTTTAAAAATCTTCACATTATCCGCCTATCTTCCATCCATGGAGAGAATATTTATTGGAGTTATTTATTATTTAGCATTATACATATCATTTATTGGATAACATTTTTATATTATCTAGTTTTTTTTTGTATCATAACTAACGTTGATTTTAAAATAAAATATCATATAATATATAATAACAAAAAATGAAACGAATTCAACTTCAAAACTATTTTTTCCCAATTTTAATTAAGATGTTGGCACACAATAATGTAACATTTAAAAATGCCTAATCAATCATTTTCGATGTATGGAAAAAGCCTTATGGTAATGTTGTCGAATTCAAGACCTCACTAAAAAAAACTATAAATGCAATTTCCAAAAATATGAAGACAACCAATCAAATGCGTCAAAAACAGTGGTCTAAAACCACCTCGTACATGTAATAATTTCGTCTTTTATTAAGATGTCGTGTATTACAAAATCGCATAATTAAAGCTTTATTTATTTTTTGTGGTATATTATATACTTATTGTATACAATTATATCACTGTATGAATTGGAGTTTGCCTATTCAAATTCGTTTGGTCTTTCTACATAAAGTCTTCAATAATGACAAATGCATAACTTTTTTCTGGTTTTGTCATGAAAGGCGTAACGTTGGAAGACCAAAATTTAAATTAGGATTTATAACAAAAAAAAATAACAAAAAATAAGTGGGAAATGTGCGTTAATGTGATAATGGACTCCGTGATTGGCGATGGGATTGCCCTGCGTTCATTTGTCTTCTTCCCATTTTCAAATTTTATTTGAATGAAATTGGTCAAATATTTCATACTATTATTATTAGAAAAAATCAATAAAAATATTTGAATTTTACTAACCATACCAAAAAAAATATATCATGATAAATAAATATATCAAATATTAAAATATACTAAAACATACCTCAATTTTTGGAATTGAAAACAACTCTTTACATATCGACGAAGTTATTAAGATCTACATATGAAATTGTTTTCGAATAAAATCCGTTAAAATCTGTGTATGAAATAATTTTAAATAATTTGAATAAAATCATGGACAATGTAGTTAAATACGATGTATAAAATTCTTTCTATTTTAAGAGTAGATATTTTTGTAGTACATTAATATTTGAAGTATTTATTTGTTAATTTAAAAGTTATTTACATATTTTATAAAGTTCAAAAATATTTTTATGAGATTTATTATTATTATTATTATTATTATTATTATTATTATTATATTCAAATCTAAAACGATAGGTCCGTTGTCATCTACTCCCGAATATATAAACATGCTTTCCCCACCTAAACAAAGCTTTGACTTAGCATTTTTGAACTTATGATGTGAATCCGCGTGTATATATATATGCTTTACCGCTCAATTTAATATATTTAAACTTTTGTGTTTCAGCTTATATTTTTATAATTTCATTATTCGAATTTTTATTTTTAATGCCCAATTGAATAAAATTAAATAACATTGTTTCCATCGAAATCATTTTTTTCGCTCATTATCGACGTAACTTTTCCCAGTGTCGTAACGTTTTGTGCTTATCGGTTTCACTTCCTCATTAAAAAGATTCGGATAACAAAATAAAGATGAATATAATATTAATTAATAAAATAGAAAAAATGAGATATTATTTTTTTTTTAAAAAAAATCGTTGATAAAAATAGTGTGTATATATATATATATATATATATATATATATATGGTAAATGCTATTAAAATTCTTTAACTTGTAAATTGGTGAAAAAATATTTCTTAAAATTTTCGTATTATAATTTACAAATTTAAGAGTTTTTAATGGGATTTATTATATATATATATAATAATGGATTTATGTTCCATCTTAAATGAATAATTAGGTAGAAAATGCTTACAATTATTTGCAATTTAGTACTCCCTCCATTTCTCAATAGTTGACACAAAATTTTTTGTTTCAAAATAATTGTCATTTTAAAATTTTCAGCTAATGTCTTATAATAATTTTCAATTTGTTATCCTTAATTAAAACTAATTAATTCTAATAAACTTAATGAATATTTATTATGTTTCAACTTTAAATAAGGATATATATGACTTTTTTACAGTTTTTTAAAAATTATAGAAAAAACTAAAATATCAACTATTATGAAACGACGGAATATAATATTATATAATACAACCACACATTTCTCAAGAACTGGACCAAAAAAAAAAACTAAAGGTAGAATACAAACACATACCATAATCTAAAATGTTTTATTAAATTCAAAGAAAAGAGAATTACAAGAACATATATGATTATTGCATGAAATGCACGCTTATTATTTGATAATCCCACTAACACCCTATCTTATCCCTCCCTCCCCCCTTTGACCGTACCACCACCCCGAAAAGTTTGACCGTTTCTTAACGCCGTTTACTAACCGTTAGTCCGGTTCACGAGCCGAAAATATGCCTCTAAATAAACGTTTTATAATATTCGGAAAATCCACAGAATCAGTTGTCAGATCCTACTGTCTCGCACTGTACACTACACTTACATCACATGAATTTAGAAACCCATATATCTATATTATTTTTCTTTGAATATTTTTTATATCTTTTAGTATTTGAATTTATATATTTTCTTTATTTTAATATAAAAATTTGGATATATGAATTTTCATACTGATATACATAATATAAAATACCGAATCATGTTTAACTAAAAAAAATAGTTGGATATAAAAAATGGTACTGCCACAAAATAAAGTAAAATCAGAGACGGAGATGCCTTCGGCCGTTACACAGTTTGCCTGTCTCGCGGCAAAATACACAACTTTCTATAAATAATTAAATAATTAATATAAATATTTTATGGAATTACAAAAAAATAGAGAAAAAGAAGTAATAAACCATGCGATTGGTTTATTATAATGGCCAAACTCCCTCTCTCGCTCTCTCTCTCTCTCTCTCCTCTCTGTGCTTTCTCAGTCTTCCCTCCTGCTCTCTCTCTCTCTCTCTCACTCTCTCTCTCTGCTCGTAAGTTTTTTTTGCTTGCTCAGTGAGAATCGATGGAGAAGAGGCAAGGGTTTTTCTCGGCGTTGAAGGAGGAAGTGGTTCGGGGGTTGTCGCCTGCGAGGTCTAGGGCGAAGAGTCCGGCGAGGAGCCGCTCGCCGATGTCGAGCCTTCTCAGGCGGAGGAAAGGCGGAGACCGCTCGGCGGCGGATGCGGCGCCGCAGATGGAGCTGGTGGTGGCGAGATCCGGTAGCTTCTTGAGGCCGTACCCGGAGGCTCTGTCGCCGTTGAAGGAAGGTCCCGATCCCGACGGTCCGGTCGACGGCAGAGGTCACCGGTGGGCTCACTGGCTCGCTAGGGCTCCATCGGTTAGCTCCTCTGCATCGTCATCGTCGTCTGGTTCAGCCGCCGGAGAACGATCTGATCTGAGATTGCTGCTTGGGGTTCTCGGTGCACCGTTGGCTCCTGTGCACGTGAGCGCAGTGGATCCTCTCCCACATCTAAGCATCAAGGACACTCCCATTGTGCGTTTTTTTCTCTCTCTTATATCATCTCTCTGTATCGTCGAATTTCATTGCTCTGTTTTCTTCCCCATTTGATGATAATGTGATTGGTTTATGATTTCTTCGTTTTCCTGGTGAATAAGCAAAAATGGGTACTCGGATCAGTGCTGAAAATTTAATCTTTGTCAAAAAAAAAATGTCAAGTGTTCCTTCCTTTGATTCTCCCCCCTTACTAAATCTGTCTAGGTTTCGAGCTTGGAAATCTCAGTTCTATGGACGATTCTGCTACTCAATCCAAGCCTTTTTCCCTA